CTCAAAATTGAATTTATCACCTACATCTTGTGAGTAAATTTTATATGCATTTGCCATGATGTTTTTTTTCTGAGTTGCCACTTTTTTTTTATCACGAGCTTGTTTATAACATTCGACAAATAATTGAACTGCTTTATTAATTCGAAACTAACAACTTTTTAATTGACCTGGATTCCTTTCTGAAAATTGATTGCAATTGTTGTTGTAATTCTCTTTGATTCTTATCCAGAAACTATTTCCAGTTTGGTCAACTCCCACAATTGGATCCTTTGAAATGTTGAGTCATGATTGAATAAGTAGATTATTCTCTTCGATAGAAAAACTTACACGTGATTTTTTTTAGTACATATTTCTTCTCCTTGTTGTCCTCCTACATCAAGTGTGATGTTCTCTAGAAAAAATTGAGACTAAGATATTGAAATAATTGGTGAATATATTTAGATCTAATGAATAAAAAAATTTTTAAGAAAATATTGAAGGCATATAAAATATATTGGGATTGGTTGATATTGGTGGTGGATACATAAAAAAATGGGGATTCGGAGAATTGTCATTGGTTGAGTGTGGTGATGGTGGGCATATAAAAAATTAAGGATTTTGATAATTTTCACCGGAAGAGGTGGAGGTGGTGGTTGGTTTTGAAAATAATTAAAATAACTTTGAAAATTATATTGATTGGGATCCATGTGCTAGAACAAAAAAAAAAATTACAGATGAATAAAAATAAAATAACATGATTTTTTTTATTTGAACAGTAAACATGAATAGTAAAATTTTTGAAATGAATAGTAAAGGTGAATAGTGAAGTACAAGTGAACTGAAGAGTGAACATCAACTTATAAACAGCACCAATGTCTCTCCCAACATCTCTCAACGGCTACTTTCCAACGTATCTTTTTTTTTTTCTCGTTTTTGTTTCTTTCATTGAAGTTTCACTTTCCCTTTCTCACTTTCCCTTCCCTTCAACGTCTATTTCTCTTCTCTCTCAAAGTCTCTCACTCTCACCCTTCACCGTTGCTCTCACCATGGAAGACTTGGAGTAGCACGCGATTTACGACAAGGACGCCCGCTCGGGTGCGTGCGCGACTGAGAAGTGGTCCCCGGATGAGAATTGGTGCGTGCACTCTCACCCTTAACTGTTCACGTCTACTGTTCATTTAAAAAAATTTACTATTCACGTTACTGCTCACATCAAAAAAAAATTGTTATTTTATTTTTATTCATCTGTAATTTTTTTTTTTGTGTTCTAGCACATGGATCCCAATCAATATAATTTTTAAAGTTATTTTAATTATTTACAAAACCAACCACCACCTCCACCCCCTTCCGATGAAAATTCTCAAAATCTTCAATTTTTTATATACCCACCACCACCATACTCAACCAATGATAATTCTCTGAATCCCCATTTTTTTATGTATCCACCACCAATATCAACCAATCCCAATTTATTTTATAGGCCTTCAATATTTTCTGAAAAAGTTGTGGAGTCATTAGATCGAAACAGATTCACCAATTAGTTCAATATCTGAGTCTCAAGTTGGGCTAGAGAACATCACACTTGATATAGGAGGACAACAAGGAGCAGAAATATGTACTCCAAAAAAATTACGTGTAAATTTTTCTATCGAAGAGGATAATCTACTTATTCAATCATGGCTCAACATTTCAAAGAATCCAATTGTGGTAGTTGACCAAACTAGAAATAGTTTATGGATAAGAATCAAAGAGAATTACAACAACAATCGCAATCAAATTTTAGAAAGGAATCCAGGTCAGTTAAAAAGTTGTTGGTTTCGAATTAATAAAGCAGTTCAATTATTTGTCGGATGTTATAAACAAGCTCGTGATAATAAAAAAAAAGTGGCAACTCAGAAAAAGACATCATGGCAAATGCATATAAAATTTACTCATAAGATATAGGTGATAAATTCAATTTTGAGCATGCATGGATATTATTAAGAGATGAGCCAAAATCGAAATCTGAATCAATGGAGAGCTCTTCTAAAAGATCAAAGATCTCTCAATCTGGGCAATACTCAACGTCTTCTAACACAGATGCAGCCAATGATTGTCAAGAATATGACCCAACAACACCAATGTCTCGTCCTATAGGTCAAAAAGTAGCGAAAAGAAAGAGTAAAGCAAAGGTTGGCGAAACATCTTCCGACAAAAAGGAATTGGATAATATGACAAAAGCAATGTTAGAAAGAAGTACTGCAATAAAGAAATTGACTGAAGCGAAGGAGGCAGCTAACTTTAGTGTAATGTATGACATTCTCATGAAGGACACATCTCGAATGACTGATAAGCAACTCAAAGATCATGAATTGGCTTGTAATTTTATTAAACGCAAATTAAGAAAATAAATATTATTGTAATTTTAATTTATGCAAATATTATATTTAATTTTGTTGTAATTTTTGGTAATTCTTTTTATTATTTTAATTTTTTTATTATGTAATTTCTTTTGTTTGTTATTCATAATTATATGTTATCCATAATAATTAATTTTTTAAAAATTTATCATTAAGTGTATTGTGAGTTGTCAAAAAGTGTAGTATGAATTGTAAAAAAGTAGGAGTGCTTATAAACAATTTCCATTGGAACAAAAATTGTAAAAATATAATATGAATTACTTATGAGTGACGTGACACAGTAAGACCCATTTAAAAGCAACTCTCCTTGTAAATACTTTAAAAGGTTGGGATGACCAAGATTCTGAGCTGGAGTCAGATTTGAGATGCTGCAGACTCTAAGCTGGTTTGGAAGCAAGAATGTGACACCTTCTACCTGGCACTACCCTTCCCCCTCATGCTCTGTAGATAATATAACCTACCTTGTTCCTTAGAAATTCCTATTGTCTCCCATGTGGTAAGATCCTAGAAGACGCAATGAGATGAAAAGAATGTCACCGTACACTTCAAATCTTGAGTTTTCGTATAGAGATGAAAAGAATGTCAACGTAACTCATTACTTAATGTAATGAAGGATGAAGGAAAATGTTGCTGCAACCAACTATTGGGTTTGATACTCGTTGGCAACAGTAATGTGTTGTTTGTTAAATAATGTCGAATAGGTAAGAAAAACAAGAATAAGGGATATTATATGGCTGTAGCACCATAATGGCAGAGTCAATAATCTAGAGAACCTCGAGCATAGTACCAAAAACATTAAAGGATACGAACTTAGAATCCTTACCAATCATGGCTAGAGAGCATGTGTCAGTTGGCTTACTGAGAATCCGTAAGAGATTTTAGGCACTCCAATTCAAGTTTGGCAAGAGCCAGTTGGCTTAATGAGAATACATAAGAGATTTTAGGCACTCCAATTCAAGTTTGGCAAGAGCAGGTACCTCTTCCTCAATTGGCTGGGTTGATTGATCACAAGTTCACAACTCATGCCTTCTGCATAGCAGGCTGTCTGATAAGCCCATCTTTGCTTAAATCTTCCTTAGCAACCAAGAATCTTTTCCTTCCCATGAAGCTTAAATCTTCCTAAAGCAAGTCTCCTTGGTGTGGTCAGTCCTCTTGCAATGGGAACACCAATGATCTTCCTTATTATCTTTGGCCGAAAAGTTTCCCAAACACAAGAGAGATGATCCCAGTTTTAGGAATCTTTCCAGAAGCCAAGGTTGGATCCTCGGTGGGATTTTAATTTTGAATAACCATTCTGTGTTTGTTCCACCACAAATGATAAAAAAAACATTTTGGAATGTGAGGAAAGCTTCTCTTTGCCCAAAATCTACGGCCAGATATGATCATATTTGGGATTATTGGGAAAAACCCAAGTCCCACATCGACTAGAGATTAGGCAATTGAATAGTATATAAGTGGAAAGCAACCCTCACCTTACAAGCCGGTTTTGTAGGGTTGAGTTAGGCTTAATCCACTATTCTAACATGGTATCAGAGCCATTTAGATCCACTTTAAAAATGGGCCACCCACCATTGATGCATGTCTCACAGGCATGAGGGGGTGTATTGGGAAAAACCCAAGTCCCGCCAATCCTAGATCATTAAAAAGGGCCACCTACCATTTATCCACGTACCAAGCCCAATAGTGCTGGACGTGAGGGGGTGTATTGGGAAAAACCCAAGTCCCACATCGACTAGAGATTAGGCAATTGAATAGTATATAAGTGAAAAGCAACCCTCACCTTACAAGCCGGTTTTGTAGGGTTGAGTTAGGCTTAATCCACTATTCTAACAGGGATTAAGGCCCAAGAGGAATTTGAAAATTCAAGACCTCTCAAACCTTTCAGTTATGTGGTACCATCTTCACTATTCTTGTATTAGTCTAGCTCCACCCACAAATCATTCAAGCTTTCATAATAGGTTGTCAGCAAAAGAGTTCCCTGTTTGACACTGAAAAATTTACTCTCCAACCATACATAACAAGTGGAAATATCCATTTCATGGAAAAAGGTATGATGAAGGCTATCCCAAATCTCCCAAGTGGTAGAGAAGAACATGTAATATAGACTAATTTCTGGAAACTTGGTACCCCATAACCACATCATAATTATCATAATTGTAAAGTTCTCATCCCATGCCAAAGTTGGATCACTCTCATCTAAGGTCTTCCTTTCCGTTGAGATACCATCATGATGTTACCCTGATTCTATTTTCAGGTATCATGTTCATATTATTTAATTTCTTTAGATAGCTTGATCATAATCCCTAAACTTTAGGAATTGATTCAGACTTTGTGTATATAAATAATTGTACAAATCGCTTAATAAATATACCAGAAAAACCATTCCTTTTATCTTAGGGTTTTTTCAGGGTGCACAGACGGATACTCCTGGACCAAGAGCTCAGATGTCAACTAGAAAAGAAAACTGAAACAGTAAATTATTTTTCCTGATAATTTACAGCGAAGGTTTAACATATATGTAGTAGGCACACGGAATAACTGAAATAAATGCTTGCCAAGAGATTTTAGGCTACAAATTTGTACATAATAACAGTAAGAGGGCAATTAGGGAAGTCCATTCCTAATCACACTGAACAAGGAAATATTCTAAACATGGCTAGTTAGCTACAACACCCCCCTCTTTTTCTTTCCCTCCAACTTGGGGGGTACGGGAGGGAACCAAGCTCTTTCTTTTTCCCTATTCAATCATAAAAATATCCAAACAATAGAATAGTAACTTTATTTCATTCTGCTTCACTCCATTCCACTTACTATTAGATATTTAAACATGGCCTAGAGGTGAAAATGGCATTAAGCCAACACACCTTATTATATTTATCTAATGAATTCAGAACAAGAGTAACGATTCAGTTTTTAGCCCACAAACAAATGATGGATGGGTTAGAATATCTAGAAAATACCACATCATATCATTATTTTATCTTTAGAATAAATAGAGCATCTCAGATAATCTAATTTCTTTTGAGTGGCTTCAACTTTCAAGTAATCAAGTTTCATTATATTCCCTAATTTTTGTTCCTTCATTTAATTAGGATAAGTCTAGCGAGAATATAAATAAAGATTGATGCTTAGTATTGCATCACATCATTATAACCCAAGAAAATATCATTCAGTGTCTCTAATTTCTCTTTCCTGCTTCTACAACTAAATCCCAATAATTAAAACAGGATGCATATATTTTCACCGAAACTCAATGAAGACAGCAATCACCTGATACTAGGTCTGCATTTGTACTCTTCGCATGCACAGTCTTCACTTCCTCTGCGGCATCAGAAACTAAGAAAACTTAGAAAGACAAAAGGACTGGATAATTCCGCAGTGAGTATTATTATGGCCAAAATTATAATAGATCCTATTCTAACAAAAGCATGATAAGATAACAAAAAAGATGGAATTATACCTGTGAATTGAACCCTACAATTCCATATACACCATAACTAGATGAACAAGATTTTTCATACTTACGTTTTAACACGGATATATTACGTGACAACAACGTAACGAATGCAACATGTTTTCTTGTTAAAGCTCGGATTAAGCATTAGATAAACGAATCAAGGTTTTAGAACAATCCGCGACCGCGATTTCAGCTACAACGTCGACCGCAACGGCGAATGCAGCCTCATCGGCCACATTTCTGCAATTTCCTACAACATCAAGGATAGTGACCGCGATTTAAAACGTTGATATGAATATAGATAGAATTTTGAAAACCAAGGAGCAACAGACATCATATGGAGCGATGTAATTTACTAATTTCTTCGCCAGTTTATGACTTCAATTCAAATATTTGATGTACGTACAGAGATGTAAATGGCAAAGCGTTAATCATCGGGTGCTGGTGCCAAAGTTAATTGCATTATTATTCATTCATTCAGCAAAAAGGTAAGCGCAGAAACGAAGAGGGTTCTCGAAGCCATTCATCGTGGTAACTGCAAAATATAGAGAGGTTAAGGAAGAGAAGAAGAGCAGTGGAAGAAGATTATCAAAGAATGAAAGCAAACACCACCTCACCTCCTTCTGCTACCATCCCCACCACGCGCAATGCCATTTTATTAGGATACATTCGGAGGGATTTTAACGGTATGAAGAGCTCAGGTTCTTGTTTGATTCACGGGGAGTGGAAGAATTTTGAAAACAAATTTTGATTTTATAATTTTAAATTTAATAATACAAATAATGATACTTTTTTATATTTATATTAAAAATATTTTAATAATCTCTCTCCTCCCTTTCAAATCATTTGATAATAAAGAGAAATTAAAATTAAACGAGATAGAAATTTACTTCTTCATTTTCTCTCTTAAAAATTGAATCAAATAATAAAAGAAATAAACATTTTTTCATTTATTTTTCACTAACAAAATACTATGTTAGGGACTTTTATTTTCATAATGATAAATCATTTGATTTTTTTATATAGTAAATAATTTGATATCATTATGCCTTAAACTTTACAGTTTTTAAAAGAAAAATTAATAGCGCACTATAATATGTGTAAATATTGTTTTCTTAGTTTTTGTTTAATATTTTTTTCCTATTTCGATCTTTTTAGGTTTATTTGTTTGGTTTTAGCTTCTAACGTTATTATTTCGATTCTTATAAAATTGTAAAATTTTAATATATTTTTTTATATTAAAATATTTTTTACTTTAAAATATTTTCATTTTAATCATGTTATACAAGAAATGTCAAATTTATTCTCAATTTATGTTAGTAATGCATTAAAATATTTAATACAAATTTTAGACAAACAAATTATGCGTCCGAATAGAGAAATCAATTGAAGTATAATTAGACTCACTTATCAAGAGAAAAGTTTTTGTAAATAAAATTTGTGAATCTAAAATTGTAAAATTAGTTGGATGCAAATGAAATTTTATGTATAAATAAAATAAGAATGATGAAGAGTTGTCATTATATTCAACGAATTTTTTACTGGAATAAAATTGAAAAAAAAACTCAAATAACATCTGTACCAATTTATTTACCCAAGTAGTATTGTTTACTGTTCACGCAGGAAACCGAATTCTGAGCAGCATTTTATATATATATATATATATATATATAAATATATATTAAAGTATTTGATAACTTTATAAATTCCTTTGACTAATATATAAGTTAGTTTGACGAATATAAGTTTTTTTAGTATGAAATCTTATTTTAAGAATTTATAATTTATTTTC